GCGGGGGAGCCCAAGCTGTTGCCTCCCCCGTGGCAGGCGCACACAGAGGGGCAGAGATGGCAAACGGGCCCCATGGAGGGGCCATCCATCATCAGAGGAAGAGAAGCCCGGCCCAAGGCCAAGCCAGGACACCCAGCCAGCCATGCAGGCTCACGGCCGGGGCAGGCGTGTGGGGATGTGGGGCAGGCCGGGGCAGGAGGCCCAGCCAGGCCAGAGCTGTAATGGAGGCCCCAGGCAGAGGGTACCTGGGGTGCCCCAGGTGAGGCTGACCTGGGACACGCAGGCTGGTTTCTACCCAGAGAGCCATGACAGTCAGTCACCTCTGTGGTGGCAGAGACCTCACGTCGTGTAATTTCCTAGATAGTGACATACATCCATCTTCTAGGCATGTTATGGCTTCCTATACTGGTCCTCGGTGAAGAACATTAATTACCAGTATCTCTTACAGACCAGTGAGGCTCCTTCGGACGAGATTTTCAAATGCCCTCATCCCTCACCTATTTCTGCCCCTGCTGAAATTGTTTGTAAAATTCCCATCTACTTCAGCACAAAAGCAGGTTGGAAAGTGAGAAACTGATTTGGTCTTACCATGTGGTTTGAAACAAAGTCTCTTGTTCTTATAAGCGGAGTAGGCCACTATCGATCCAACAATTAATATTACAAAAGCAGAAATTATAGGAGATGTAACTCCAGCTATTAATCCTGAATCTGTGGGAAAAGAGAGAGGTTTTTCTCAGAGGCATTGAAATGGTTTGACTTAAGAAGATTCTCTACTAAGGTATGCTTTTGCCAAACTCTGAGAATTGTTTGGTGAAACATTGGAAATTCATTAAACAGAATTAAGCAGAAGACTAGAAATTATGTTACATTACAGCTGGTGTGAAAACGGTGTCTTAAAGCCTAATTTAGTATATGTACTACTTTTATAAGGCTAACATTTTCTTAGTATTTTATGATGACTGGAAACAAATTATAGACTAAATTATTTACTGTACCCGTGTTTCCTCCATGATTGAAATGATGCTCCTGTCCTCCTGAAATAGAGGATGAAGTTTCATCAAGAAATGTTTTTCATCTTGCTTTGAGAACAAAGCCTTTACTGAGCAAAGTGCAATTTTGTACAGAAGGTGAAAGGGGGCGGCTCAGCAGGACTGTGAGAGAGGAGCTCCCCTTCCAGTCCTGACTGACAGCTGGCCAGAGGAATAACCATCCATCCTCTTGACACTTTGTTTTTGGAGAAGAATATTATCTTCTAGAAAAGGGATAATACATAGCAGTCTACATCAAGCTGATTTCACAGGGAGTGGGAGGCCAGTATACTCTGGCTATTCTTTACTGCCAGACAGTCAGATGATTTATCAATAATTTAAGTCAAGATCATAAGCCCAGTGCATCTACTTTCAGTTCTTGGCAGAAGCCCCTTGCTTTGGGACTGTCCTAGCTGAATTCAAAGGGATAAATCCTGCAAGGTTCTGGCATATGCCAAAATGCTACAAAATCTTTAGGAATATGTTTCAAGTTTGAGCTTCAGGGTCAAAGTCATGGTTTGTGAAGAAGGATAACTAATCTAAATAAAAATAGCAGAATCTTGTCCTATACCTTCAGTAACAAACAGATTACTGCTAAAGCAAAACCAGCCAGCTCTGAGTTCTGAGTATTAGGCAGAAGCTGCAAGGAGAATTGGCAAATACTACCTGTTATGTGTGGTGGTAAAGGCTTCCCATCAAGGAGATCTGAGTCATCAAAACCTCCTGCAAGATAAAGATTAGGATTCTGTTGCAAAATTACCTGAGTGATGGTAACGCCTTCAGCTCCCTTGTCCAGTCTTTTGGTAATGTTCTAGGGAGGAGTGAGGGACCTTTGAAATCCCAGGTTCGACATGGCGGATGGGTCAGGTGTCTTGCACTGGATAGTAAAAATTTAAATTCACCTGGAATCTGAGTACTAAAACTGTTGGTGTCTGCCCATTCTGCATCTGTATCGGCACTTGTGAGATGTGTGGGCTTGGGCTGTCGGTAGCACAAATCCGTATGTAATATGGACATCTCAAATCCCAGCGGTTCCTGGAGCAGGAAGTCAGTGGGACCTTTCCAGGAAAGAGTCCAGAAGGACCTGTCCATGGCTCACCACTACAATCATACGGGAAGTAAATATGGGATACATGGTGGTAGCTGGGATAGATGTGCCACTTCCACTTTATTTAAGTGCGTGTCTGGGACCACACTCAAAAGCAATACAGGTTTACATCCATGTCCCCGGTCCTACCTGTTGTATGCCCCAGGGCCGTCTCAGATGCACATCTCAGTATGGATCTGAACACAGGCTTATCCATGCCCTGTGGCTAGATGTCAAATTTGAATCTTAGCATGGTTCAGTGTATACATACCCAAAATGAAAAGGCAAATAAGATGAGTGTGAGTCTCATGTCACTTCGGAGTCAGCATCCCACATTTTGGGCAGACAAAAAAGCTTTATGGTACTAACACTAAAACTCAGAAAATCTTTTCAAACCCTAGGTCTGGAACAGTGATTACAAAAGGGAAATTGAGGGAAGGGATGATTAATAAATAATAAAGAATAAAGAAATAAGAGAGTAAACTATACAAAATATCTGCTCTGAACACCTCATAATGCTAGATTTTCTTAGCAGAAACTATTCTTACCAGAATTACTATGGCTTCCTGGTCGTGGTGGAAGAGGCGGGTATAAAGGTTTTCTTGGGATGTCACCTGTTGATAATTAATATTGTTAGATGGTTGGACAGGCAAAACTGAGAGCTGTAAATAATGAGTAGGATAACCTGAGCTTTTATACCTATTTTGAATTTGTCCTCCGCTGGATTAAGTAAAGGACCTTGTCACTAGTTAAAAAGTCTCAAGCACTGTATCAACAAATAGCTAGTTACTAAAACTAATTAGAAAGTGAAAAGAGAAAATTAAAATGAGAGAACAATTCACAAAAATGTTAAGGGAAAATATTTCATGTATTTCTGGCAAGTGCTAACATTGTTTAATGCTGACAGCTGGGAAGCACAGTGTGTTACTGGAGGTGTCAGTGGAGCAGTTATGCAGAGCCGACAGAGAAGCTGGTGTTCTGGGCTGGGCAGGAGGCAATGGGTTCTCTCTGTGCCATCAGCAGGTATTAATAAGATCTGCAGATTAGTTTCATCTAACCGATGCTGAATTTATCTAACGCATGATGAGTTTTCTACTCTTGAACACTGCAAAATTAACTCAGACTTCGGCTTTGTTGTTTAGGACTTTGTGCTGGTACTTGGCCTTAATTTTTGCCAAAGTATTAGAAAGAGATGCATTGGATAGAGCGGGAGATCTGATGACTAACCACAGTTTCCAAACTGCACGTACAGTGCTGGAGTACCAAGAGCTGACTCAGCTCAAAACCTGCCAGAGTTAATGTCCAGGGCTGTTGCTCTGCATATATAGAGTAGGTCCCCTCTTGCTGTCCTTTCCCCAACAAGTTCAGTCGCATATTTAACTGTTCTCATAGCCAGACAGTGAATTTAGCTCTGAATAAATAAAAATAGGTCACAGAAATAAATACCAATTTCCCTCCCTCTCCTTAAATCTTTCTTTCACCTTCAGTACACGCCAGATACCCTTTTATCATGTTTTGTACTTGCATAGCTGCTAAATACAATCCTTCTGTTTGTGAGTAACATTTAGGTTCTGATTCAGGAAATTATTTATATATATGCTTAGCTTTGGACGAGTTTAGCCTACTGCAGTCAAAAGATTTTAGGTAGAGTCTTAATGCTTTGCTGAATCAGATTTTGCTCAATTAATTATATTCAACAAAAGAGGAGACTTGTTCTGTTCCAGATCTCTGTATAACAAACTAACACTTACCATGGCATGAAAGCAGAAAACTACCGATCCCATTATTCATTCCTATTATGATGCTGCACTTATTCAATCTTCTCTAAGCATAAGAAGTTATATTCTATGGCATAGTTAGTGGAAAAATAATATCTCCAGAACTGCTGATAGTGAGGTACATATCATTAATCCTGTTATATCATGTATGAGTGTCAATTTAGAACATGAACTGAAAATGGAGCAAAGAAACAAAAACCAAGGGAAACATCATTTGCGATCTTCTGAATGAAAAGGTGGGGTTTAGTGAAGATACTTAAGCTATTCATTGATAATTTAATTGACATACTAAACCCATCCTCTTGTAACAGTACTCATTAAAAACTTGCAGGCATGGAATGATTGGTACAGGCAGGAAGAAATTATAATCTAAACATGGGAATTATAATCAAAATTCGATTCAGCTTTATAAAGTGTGTACTAACATGTCATTCAAGCATAGGCATGAAATGTCGCAGGGGAACCTGGAAATGCAGAAAGTCCTGGAAATGGGAAGGAATAATATAAAAGGTATGATTCTCTAAGACTGAAATGCAAGTAAACCAGATCACTGCAACCAGAGTCATAATTCAGAGGTTCTGTGCAATGGGCTGAGAAGTAATTTTTCTTTTGTGTAGCCTTGATTCAAGTGGATTTTTAGGATTTGATTCAATACTACTTGCATTTTAGATAATTTTAGTGTATAAGAACCTTTCTAGAGTACTTCACATCCTTGATATACCTCTAAACACACTAAACAAAATGTGATGGAAAAATTCCCAAAGTCAAGGATTTCGTATGTCTACACGGCCCAGCACAGTACTGTGAATACTTCCTAGGTCAGGTCTGGAAGTTACAGAAATGCCTGGAAGTTATAGCGTGTTACAACAGCTTGACTGCTTCAAGCTTAAGCTATATCATGTCCATCAGTGCTCATCTCTGAAACATTCCTTCCAGCATTTCTGATTTGCAGTTGGCAGAGCTACAACAAGCTCACACCTCCCTCTATCCACTGTTACCTCTGATTTCTAATTTTAGGCAGACTCATTTTTGGTAGCTGAAGAAACTACTGCCATCATGTGTTGCCTTCAGCCTTCTGCCAGAGGCCACCACCCTGCACCATCACAGCTGAATGGGCAGCACATCCTCTCCCCAGCCATGACCATAGTAGCCTGGCACCGTAATGTAAATCATAGCTGACTTCAGTTCACGCAGGCAGGCCAGCCTGCAGGCTCCTGTCGCTGGCAACCAGGCACAGCCCATCCTGCCCTCCCCACTCTGCATGATGGCCTCTGGCAGAAGGGCTGCATGTACATGAGCTGTCATGACTGCCATTACCACAGTTCTTCCTGCGGTCTTGAAATCTCTTTTCACAAATTAGGCAGACTTCAGAAAGAGACTATGAAAAAAAAAAAACATTATATTTGAGAAGAGAAGACAGTACTCACCGTCACCAAGAGCATCTCCTAAATGCAGATCATTGTCTAAAAATGAAAAGGAGGAAGACGTAAAGAAGTGAGTTACACACAGTTCTTGAGGGAAGTGAAATGTTAGTTTTAATAGAAAATGTACAGCTGAATATTCAACGAGCAACTTTTTCAGGTCACTCCCCCAAATTCAGATAAGGTATTACAATTTTCTTGAAAACTCTTATAGAATTTAATATTTGGCCACACAGTAATTGACAAATGATACAATATTTTCTACTCAAAATATGAAAGATTTTTCCTGCTTTAAATAAGCTCAGAATAAATCTCAGAGTGGAATCAAGATCAATACCTCTTTAATATATCTGCAAGTACCTATATCAAATTAGCTATGTTAAAATATTAAAATATATCTATTTAAAAAAATATAATTATTTATTAACATTTATGTCTGTGGTTAAAACTGGTATATGCATGTTTGGCTTAATTGTAATTTGTTGAACAGCAAAAACTGAATACCCATTTCAAAACCAAATACTGGGACGTAATAAACGTACTTGGGGAGGGAGTATTGAATCAACTAATTTATGTGAGGGTCATGGTGACATAAAAATTTTTGCTTCAAGCAATCATATACACCTGTCTGAGGTTGGGTGACAGTCTGTTTTTCTTTGGTTGAGCTGTAAAAGTTCTAAAATATACTTTAATGTCTGCATGTGCATGTTACGCAGTGCATCAACAGGCTATGACCATTCCCCCAGCACTGTACACGTGTCTCACTGTACCTGGAATGGAATTTTCCATCCAATAAACAATTTGCCCTTGAGCTGCAGATGCATAAACGAGAGGAACTCCGTTTCTAACGTGCATGTGCGGATATGAGTATGTGGGTGATATTTTAGCGTGTGTATGGAATGATGGTGAGCTCTAAAAGGTCACTGAGTAATAGGCAGAAATATATTAGATGGATGTCAAAACTCCAAGAATCCCTTTCTTGCTCCTTATGAATGTGGAGTGCTGGAATGAATCAGAAGAAAAGGGACAGCAAAATCTACCTAAATTGTGATACCAATGCTTACTGCTACATAAAATTAGATAGACACTCAATTAAATTTTTTTTTTCATTACAATTGTGTCAGAATTCCCAAAACCCAGGAGAATGCATCCAAATGCATCACCATGCAGAACTCTGCCTTCTTGTGTTCTTCGTATTCAGAGGAGTGGGAAGCTGCTTTTGCAGAGTTATCTAGTCTCGTTTGTGTAACGACTCAGAAATGCTTTGATGTCACCAGGAAATCTGGCAGGAAAATAATCAAATTCAAACTACATGACTCAGTTTGTTCTTGTCAGGTGTTGATCCTGTCTGTGTCTGGCCAGCAGAGAGTTGCATTTCAAAAATGCCTTTACCTGTCAAACGCTAACACTGTAAGAAGCAATAAATTGCAAACTGGATTCAATTTATTATCGAGATGAAGAATTCTGGTAAAATGCAGGGTTCTGCTCTGGAGGGTTCATGCGGAGATTTGTTGCAGAAATGCTACGGTTGATAGGAATGAAATACAAATGGAAATGCCTGTGTCTGTAGGCACCAGAAAAAAAAAGCAGAGCGAAGGGTTAAAAGAACAGACAATAAAGGTCACTGTTCCCAGCAGTAAAATTGAGGAATGTGTTGTTTTTGTCAAAACCAGCAGGCCTGCGCTCTGATAAGATGACAGCACAGATGACTTGTCAGCAGAGGAAAAGCAGAAGGGCACTCTAAAGCCAAAGGTTGCAGCATATTCCCTATTCCACTACTTTTCCTCTTCGCCCATCCAGAAACTTGACCGTAGACATAGTCTGCATACCCCAAACAAGCAAAACCAGATCGTGGGCAGCAACCTGGCCTAGAGTTCAGAGATGCTGTAGTAAGCAAGATTATGAGGCAAAGGACTTCTTCATAAAAGCTGATGACTCCTAAAGGGTATAAAAGATCTGTACATAAACTAGCTTGCCATTTCTGATCAAGAAGAACCACAGAGACAGGATAAGACTGAATAGCTGGCGTACCTTGTTCTGTGTTGCACATGATGCCCACCAGACCACCTAAGCACACACATCTTGGTGCTCATGAGTATGTGGGTTTGAGTGTATGGCTGAGTTAAATCAATGGCAGGATGAATGTCAGTGGGTAAAATAAACTTATTTAGAGATTTTGTAAATAAAACATCACCTTCCATTGCATTTTGTGTTGAATTTTGTTACACTAGATGGGAGGTTCCTAAAGGACAGCTTCAACTCAGGCAGAAGTGCGTGGGAAGTGATGCCCAGAGGACATGGCCTGTACAGTAATTGGCCTCAGCTGAACCAGAATCGTCATCTCAGCCTCATTTCTCAATGATACTGGCTGAATGGGACATAGAGGAAACCCTGAGGTTAAGCTGAAGCGTTAGGCAGATGCTAGGACATACCTTTGTATCATCTTTCTGCACTTTCCAAATCCAGTAATTTAACACTGTTTTTTTAAAATTAGTTTTAATTGCTTTTAAAGTCCATGCAATCCTCTTCAGTGCTGAAAGAGATTCCAAAATGGTCTGGAAAACATGGAGTTCTTCATTCCCAAGAATTAGTGAAGTTGATTCAGGTAGGGCAGATAATCATCTGATGGTCATATTTCTTAATAGATTTAGGAGTCCCTAAAAATCAAATTCCTTTCACCTGACTGAGGCAGCATCACTGTAGATATTGGCTTTAAACATGACTGAGGACAGAGTCTTTTAGGGCACTGTTTAAGTAACTTACTTGAAATGTCTATATTAGGCTGAGAACAAATCCACATTTAGAGTGATATGAACCATCCCTAGACATGCTGATTTGTCTCCACTGATGTTAAAGGAAGTCCAGAGAGTTAGCTAAATAGAGGGCAGTGGCTTAGCAGCACTTTACAACAGACATTTCTAATCTAGGCCAAACACAGATTTTCTTTGCAAAATGAAGTGGGAAGGAAGAATGCACCCATTACAGAATTTAGTAGCTACCTCATTTGCAAAATGGTGCCCCAGTTTGTTCAAAGAGTGAGCCAGAGAATCATGTGGAAAATGTAACTGCTTTCGTGTACCTGAAGACTTACTGCAATGTTTATCCAGAAGAAGACTGAAAGTTATTGTGTGGGCTAATATTATCCAGTATTTCCTGATTCAAGCATTTTGTTTGATAGCCAGAAATTTCTTTCATTGTAGTTTAGTTGAAAAATCTCTATGTTATCATAAAAGGTTCCATCATAAATTCATATATGGTTTTGTTGTTGTTTAGAGTTTGGGTTTTTTCAATAATAATGAGTGTTTGTTGGAAATGATCATTTGTCATCCTCAGGACTACAGCTAAAACCTTTTGGTTGTCTCTGCTGTTCAGAGTGTTTTTTCATTTCTGACATAGGTCTTTGTAGCAATCAATACTAGATAATATTAAGTAAATACATGAGGAGAAGAAAGAATACCCAAATTCATTAATATCATGAATATTTATGCTAAAAGAAAAGACAATGGAAAAAAAGTAGAACAGTTACCCATTTTTAGCAACAGTTACCCATTGTTATACTCCCCAGGGAGTTCAGTCCAGGCTGGAAAACCGTGAAGAAGATCTTCAGGAAATAAAATGCCTTCACTGGCCAGTCATGCTCTAAAGCCTTACTGGAAGCAGTGAAGACAAGTAATTGGTAATTGTCCAAAACCCACTTACTTTACATACAGAAGACAGCTAGTATACACACAAATGAGCTCAGCTACAGTACATTAGCAAATACGATCAAGAATCTCACAGGAGACAGTTTCTACATATCTGAAATCAGTTCTGACCCCGTTGTCTTCGTTACTCACTCAGCACAGGCCTTGTCGGTCTTCTGATCACTGTAGGCTTCCTGGTAATTATGTCCTCTGTGGGACACAATGACATACCAATAAACAATAACAGCTTAAACTTTTTCAACTTAACAACAGAAGGTATCTGCAAATCTAGAGAGCTCCATTCAATACATCTTTATGTATCATGGCAGAAGCTAAAAATGAAGGCATATGTTTTCAAAGCCATTTTTTTTTGTTGTTTTAAAGAAAATTTTAATTTTATGACAGAAACATTGAAATCTAGCATTTCCCAGTTCTGTATATCTTTAACTTAAGTAGTAGCTACTTCATATTCCAGTCATCAAGGATAAGCTTGGGTATAAATGCCATAGTAAAGCAAAGATAGGAGATTTACCTACCTGGGTGATCAAGAGCATCGGCTAAATCAAAATCACGTTGACCTAGAAGGAAGGTGACAGAAAGAAAGAGTCAGTGGGCAGGTTTCCGTGACCTCCAGGTCCGAGGGCTCTGGACAAAGCCATAACAGAGGCAACAGAAAAATCCATCCAAGCAGGAGCAGGCACAGAGCAAGCTGTCAGCTGTTGTTCCTGCACCGTGCAGTCCTGAACGACCATGCGAGGTGGGCTCATTGCACTCAAAGAAGCTGTTTGTTGAGGTAGCGCAAAGAGAAGCTGCTCTCTCATGTTATCCATATCCAGCCGCTGTGCAAACATGCCTTTGAAGAACACAGGTTGCCTGTTACAGGGCACAAGGGCTATTGCCAGGAGATGGCTGAAAGTAGCATTCAGCACGGTACTTGCAAACCAGAATCACTGGGTGAGAATTTTTAGTATCTTCATTATTGTTTTACTAGCTTAGCTTCAGAGAGCAGCTTTACTGGCAAGCCTGCCTTGTGATCACTTGTAACATGAATCAGCTGGGGTTTTTTACCTCTTCCTGTAACATGTGCCAGCAGTAAAAGATATAAAGATAGTCTACTTAATTTGTTTTCCACTGTACCTTAAAAAATCTGAAAGGCGAGAAAAGAACCCTTCCTGTTCTGTGTTAGGTGACAATGATGTCATTAAATGTCACAGCAGGGCAATTAGCATCCTGACTTTTGAAGTTAGCAGGTAAATAAAACTGGAAAATATTTAAAATGTATAAACTGAAGCATATGACTCTGACCTGAACAAACACCGTTATTCATGTGAGTTTTTCTTTCCACTCTAGAATCTGGTGCTTTCTGTTTAATACACAGCCTTCATGAAACACCTCTTTGCAGACTACATATCCATTAGTTTTCATCCAGACTGAAACCTCACCGTCCTTGTGTTTGCATGCCAAATACAAGATCAGCCTGCACAAACCCGCAAAAAGTCATGACGCGCCATGGCTTTCCTAAGCAGAAATGTTTTACTACGCTCTATCAAGAAAGTCTCTTGATCTGTGTCTGTTTATTATCCCATCTAAAAGGCATAATACCTAACTCTTCGATGAAGTGGTTTTCTTGCTAAGTCTTGAACACTTCACAGCAAGAAGGGCATCACTGTTCAAGCCAGGAAACTGAGGAACAGAGAGAGGCCGTCAGAGGTTCTCCAGCATGACAGCGCCCTGGGTTCAGCTCAGCCCTCTCTTCTTGACAGATGCTGTCCGTCTTCATGGTATTCTTCACATTAATCACTGTTCCTGAATAATAGCTCTTGTCTGTGTCAAAGAGCTCCTGGGAAGATTAATTACTAGTGGTGAAACACTGTGTGATCCTCAAAGAACAATCAGCACAGGAGCATAAAGTAAAAATGTTTTGATACCCGTGAGGATTTTCACATAAGTCTGTGAACTTAATTATAGCTGGTGTCTGACGGAAAATATGAAACGAGGCTGGAATGCAAAACAGTGAATGGCTTCTAAAGGAAAACTATCCCTATTAAATATTATGGCAAATCTGTGTTTGGAAAGGAAAAGCAGATAACAGCATAAGGCTTTCCCAGTAACGTTATTAAAGTAGCATTTTATCTGTTATCATTCGAACTGATCCTGGGGCGTCACCTCGTCCGACCAGCTCTCCTTCCCCTGCCCTGGCCTTTGGACTGGGTCCTTAGGTGGATAATATTCTAAGACTCTGACAAGTTCACTTTTTTTATATGAATCCATTAAATACATAAACACATAAAATTGACAAGTGCCTTCCTCAGAAGCTATTCTGTGCCAGAGCCCCGAGGACACCACCAGCCCTTACTGGCCCCGAGCCCCTGCCCGTGGGCTGTCCCAGCGGTGCTGCCACCCAGCCGTGGGACCATTTGATCCCGCTGCAGACCCCTACCCGCTGGCTGACATCCTGGCATTGCCTCAACTTATATGGTCCAATTACATTTTTCTGAAGCATTTCTTCAGTGCTAGCAATAGGACTGTCCTTTGATTTTTGTCCTCTGGTTAAATCTTCATTCTTGACCAGTGTCCTGAGCACTGAAGAAGGCTGTCTGACCTGAGCTCTGCTGCTGCAGGATACCGTCATCAGGGCTCAAACCATTTCTCATCAGAATGAGTCATCAGAAATCATTTTGTAACACCAAAGAGCTGTTGGCCAAACCAGCTCCTTTGTTACAGGTCCTGACACGCAGGAACTAACAATACAGCAGGCAGTTACCGAGGTCCTAATGCTGTAAAGAGAATGTGACAAAATTGTCTTCTGAAGGAAGACTCTGGAAAACTTCCAAGTAAAATAGTTCTTTGAAGGTAGGGAAAAGAAAAAAGTAAAAGGAGGAATCTAATCAAAAGAGATTATAGAATTCAAGGAAGACGATGCAGTTGCTTCAGATTGCATGAGAACCAAAGGAAAACAGCAGACTGAAACAGTTACTAACATCTGCCCTTCTCCTGGACAATACCAACGTTTCCCTCTCCTGTTGTATGTCAGCTCTGTTGTCAAAAAGGTGGGAAAAGACAAGAAGTGTTGTTTTGAGACTGCAAGGGAGAAATAGAAGACAACGACAGAAATTTTAAGAAAAGAAAAAAGAAATTATTCAGATGATTGATTATTTAAAAATTATTTCTGATGATAAACCAAGTAATAAAAAGAAACAGACACCAACATAGACTGACTGGGAGTACGATAGGAATGAATAGTGAAATGTCTTTGCCTGTGTAAATATAAACTTTGACAGATGGGCAGATTGTATGCGGACATCTGTGCAGCACGGTAAATGATATTCCAATAAACCAAAAGATTGCTTGGACTTCCATCCCGACTTCCTCCGATAATAACATCAAATGACCGCAAGGAATGAGATTTTGTGGAGCAGAATTTTAAATGCTCATTACCATTTCTGAGACTGCACCTAGACATTTTAAGAATCTAATTTGGGAGGATAACAGATGGTTAAATAGCTGAACAGCCCAGATTTCATCCACAAAATGGTGGGTCTAAAAACAAAAACACATTAGAGACTCAGAGAGCGTTTAGCTCAATAGGAACTGCAGTCACTTCAGGGAATGCTGAAGATAAATGACAACAGAAACAAATTAGTCAAGCTTCTTCACAGAACAAACAGACTGAATGAAATTAATTTTCCACATATAAAAGTGGCCTTTTTTTTGGACCAACTTCCATAATGGAAACAGCTGGAAATATACTGATGAAAATAAGAATGAAAGAAATTTTAGCAGGGAGAAAACAGTTTTGTTCCTTTGGGGTTTTTTTATTTGGTTGGGCTTTTTTGTGTGTGGTTTTTGTTGTTTTTATTGGGTTTTTTTAACCTGGATAAAGTTATGAGGAAATTTAGCTATGCAGGAGATATTATCTCAGAGTTATCTTTGTTATTACTGCTTTGGGCTAGTATGCTATTTCTTGGCATCACTTCTAGCCTTTCTTCTGGGAGTATCCCTGTTCTTACAAATAAATGAAATTATTGTAATAGTGGTTTTTGTTGGGTGGTCCACAATGATTCATAACAGAGAATTTGAGAAAATGCTTATAAGCTCCTGCCTGACACCACAGAACAGTCCTTATCTGCAAATGAAAAAATGCCAAGCTAAGAAAGCAAGCCTTCCAGATGGATATATGGTTTGTATCGCAAAAGGATCTGTTTTAATTACGTTTATACTAGCTCCTCCAACACAATGAACTATACTAACAGGAGGACTTTTGCTGGCACTGCCAGCCTTATTTGGGATGTAATTCCCTCATCCCCACCCAACACATGTAGCTGTGCCAGTAAAAATCTGAAGTGTAGACCTGGCCTACATAGCTCACAGTAGGCTTCTCTGTAGCAGCCAGACAGGGAAGAATAGCCTCCATAAAGCCAAGTGTCAGAACATAGTAGCTCAAATTACAAAGTTACTAGATTTATTTTTACAGGCATGATTCTTCCAGGTAGGATATTTGCTTTCAGTAGTGCCCACACTTTCTATGAGCCTTTTTAATATCATGTATGGAAGGCTGGTGATATAAAATCCTTGTTAGTCCACTTGCTCTACTATGGAGATCTATGGTTGCTGTTTGCCACAGAGATACTGAGCCAGCTTTTAGTGAGTTCCCTTGAACATATGACCCCTCCTGCTATTGAGGTCATCTTACCCCACCGAGGCAGTCCCCTCCAAAGTCGTGTCCCCAGGCACATGCGCATCTAATGTTCACAAACTTTTGCCCATATTAGTTTTCTGAAAATGTGACCCAAATATCTAGTCACTAAAATGCAGACAGCAGCGTCTTTTGCCTATATTTTAATTTGTGACCTAAATGTTACATGTATCCGTCACCCCTTAACTGTGTAGCTGATTGATCACAAGGGTCTGAGGGTGCACAGTTTTTGAGGGGGATTTACGAGGAACAAGACTGGACTGCAGGTGGATGTTACCTGTTTGTCATTACAACTGTAGTCAGAAGCTTTCTGACAAAAGGCTACCATGGCATCACTCTGCAATTTTTAATCTCCGTAAGTAGGCTCAGTCCTGCACTAGATTCATATGAACACAGCTTGTGGCCATTAAAATGACGCACATTTAAATAGGACAGTGTGAATATTGCCAAATGAGAGTCAGGTTATGTGACAAATGAAATTAACTTCTCAGGCATTTAATATGCATAGTCTAGTATTAAAAATGAAGCTAAGGTCCATGAGAAAATGTGTTTATCTGTGTATATACATTTGTGTGGACATACATCTTAAATGCATATGTGCACATGTGTTAGATAAATCCTTTTGTCATTAATATGATTAAATTAATGGGCTTTGAGTGCATTGCTAGCACTCATATGATTAGCATGAGATTACCTGTGTTACAAATAAATTAGAAGCAACTAACTTAGAAAAGTGAGCCAGACAGAAAGGGAAAAAAAGTTGATTTTACATTATTTAAAAACAAGAACAAAAGTGATTGCTTCAGTGTAATTAAATAAGAATTGTTTGTGAATACAATGAGCTTAAAACATTATGAAGCTGGCAGAGACTGAGGAAGAAGT